GTACCGGTACTGGTACCGGCCGGGATTTTGGTTTTAGCCGGGATTTTTCCAAAATAAATTCAGTTTTTCTCAACGTTAATTTGAGTCCAAAATTAACAAATCTGTGAACATTTTCCTAAAACATTTTGATGAAATCATTGAACAATGGAGACTGGAGTCAATCTATATTTAACATAATCATGGGTGTACGAATTATGGACTTCTTTCTGACTTATGACTTAATTATTGTGACTAAGTGTCACGGCTCACGGTCTTGTGTTACCGAGGGACAAGTAAAACAGAGTTCTCCGGGTAAAGACAGCATTAATAAATGCTATTCAGTATTCATCCTATTCAATTATTCAGGTAAGGTGATGTAAACTGTAAAGTGATAAGCTCCAACGTCAAACACCATGTTCAATTAAATAAGTTTAAGTAACCAATACCAGATCACAGGATTTTTATAGTTACGGAGACTGTTGGAAACGATGCAAACCAGGATCGGACTCCTATCAGAAATAGTCGACCACGGTCCAGCCTCCCTCAAACTCAAATGCCCTACCACTACCCCAGACCACATCCACCTCTTCAGCCAGGAACAGCGCTCCCAATATACCACTACCAGCAGTTCCTACCGCCTCAGAGGATACACTGCACGTGCCCGTTATTCCTCATGCCTCGTCTTAAATGTCCAGTCCATGAATCCTAGTGCATCAAGTGCGAGTAGATGGGAAGTGCCAAAAATCTCAGCTCTTATTCAGGAGAAATCCAAAAACCACTCGTTACCGTTTATTGCACTTACGGAAACGTGGCTCAAGTCCTACATGTCAGACAAATACAAAATGTGCATCACCTCTTTCTCCTGCTGAGCAGAACCTCCCCCTTAAAAGTAAACAAATCTGCATCGCCTCCCAACGACAATCCAGATATATTAAGCAGCAGAGACAATCATTTAAGGAGACTTCGATATCTATCAGGATCATGATTATACTGCCGTGAGAACTCAGCACTTCAGGATGAATCATATTATATTTGGTTTTCTCGATTTCATTCATATTTAGACAGAAGTCCGTGTAGATAATTGGTTATAGAATAATTGGATATAATTTTATGCGAAGTTGTGTCTGCGAAAATATACGTGTGAACTGGTCATCCCTCAAATGCTGAAAAAGTAGATGTTACCTATCATAAAATAACCGCTCGCACCGTACACGACAGAATTGTGACTGCGTTTACAAATTCCTTATCATAATGATTTGTTGCCATGACAACCGAAACTCCATCGGAAGATCGGCCTGTAAGGCATAATCATGATAATACACAGTATCAAAACATTGCCATATCATAGCAATTAGCAACATTCCAGAGATTAGATTATGTGTGTGTAAGAAAATGTATGTTATAGTATTATACAGTCTGCTAGAACATTCCGTTTACACATGGTAAAATAATAATCATGGTGCCTGGTGGCCGATAACAACTTGTTTAATTTATCTCCGAATTTCACACAAATTTCTGAAAGTTTCGTAGACTTAAATCAATTACAGAGGGTGTGGCTATTGGCCAGCCCCTCTATTTCACTATTATGGTTGAAACTATAAGAATACAGATTATATTATTACAGTGATTTTACAAAAGTCGAAACAGTAAACACCAATTTGAAGGATAGTTTAAATCACACCAAAATTGGTCCCAGAATGCAATTAAATCTGATGGCGTCTTTTCAGTGAAAAAGAGGCCACACCCTCTGTAATTGATTAAAGTTTACGAAACCTTTAGAAAATTAGTTATATAACTTGCAACTTAAACTAGGATAAATTGAGTATTTATACTCAATTTATCTTAGTTGCATGAGTAATATATATATACTCTCATTTTTTCAGAGCAAACGTAATTTAAATGGCTAAACACAATTCAATAAAATTTGGCTCGATCCGATTATCCAAACTATCAAATAAATGCGAAAATGAACCTTCTTTTGAAAAAAATGAACACAAATATGTTTCGATTTGACAAATTTCTCGAACCAGTGGTGGTAGTAAGCAGGAGGTGACCGGGACATGATTTCAGGCCTGACCGGGACCGGGATACAAAATGTGACTTGACCGGGACCGGGACCGGGACCGGGACTGAGATTATAAATTTACCGGGACCGGGACCGGGACCAATAATTTCTGGGATTTCTATCTTACCGGGACCGGGACCAACAATCCAATTTTACCGGGATGACCGGGATGACCGGGACCAAAACTGGTATTCTCATATTTAAAGCTGCAACTTTCATTAACATTATAATTGAACAATTTGAATAAGTAATAACTAGAATATTAAATTAGAAAAAACTAGAAAAAACCCGTCAATATGGGGCATGGGCCTAATGTACTACACCAATAATGTTCATGTACTGATTACTCAAGTTCACCCTCATTCCTCATTCCTCAATCAATGATCCCTCAAATTATTCAACAGTTTTATTCTCCAATTCCAATTGACAATTATTCCTCCCCAACATTTTCAATTTATAAAACAAACACATTCCATCATTCCATCTCTTATCAGTTATCTGCATAATGCAATTGCACATGATTAATTTACAGACAGGATTTACACACACAATTCATTTCACATTTGATGAACAGCATCAATTATGGATTGATGATACAAGATTTTACACTCATACTACATAACAGGTCATGTGACCACCTTGTGTCAAGTCAGGTGACATAGTAAAGAGTAGGGACAGCTCCTTATATGGCATAATTGTGTTTTTAAGTTCAGAGAAGTTCTGCACTCTGCCGTTTATTGCCTTTTCTTGTTCTGTTCTAATTTACAGTTTAAAATCACAGTGAATGAAATTTTGTAAAAGATCTCGGTCAAAATCCCGGCAAATTTGAGTGATTGACCGGGACCGGGACCAAGAATCCTGAATTAACCGGGACCGGGATCATAAATCAGCATTTGACCGGGACCGGGACGAAAAAATGTGACTTGACCGGGACAGGGACCGGGATAGCTCAAAATTGCCAATCCCGGTACCGGGAATCCCGGTCGTTTACTGAGGGTGGGGGGGGGTTCACACGGATTTTTTGTGAAACTTGGTTTCGAGATAGCAGTTGACCAACAAACTAGGACCGGTGACCGAACTTTTGAGGGGGTCTCGGACCCCAACCGCCAAACGGTGCCCGCGGGGCAGCCACGCCCATATTTAGTCCAAACTAGGCCAAATTTAGCCAAATACCCTCAACATGCCCAAAACTCAGATTTTATGTGCTCTACTTGTAGCTATAAGTGATCCCCTGAACTCGCATATGAAATTTCATCAAGATTGGACAAAAGATTACTGAGTCATGAGATAAAAACTATATATCTAAATTTGGCCTAGTTTGGACTAAATATGGGCGTGGCTGCCCCGCGGGCACCGTTTGGCGGTTGGGGCCGGGACCCCCTCAAAAGTTCGGTCACCGCTCTTAGTTTGTTGGACAACTGGCTCGAAACCAGATTTCACAGCGTGATCAGCGGGGCCCTTCGTTACGCCACTGACTGTGATATATATCACCCTACGCGCGTGGGGTGGACTTTTGGGGTGGACTTTTATTCAGCGCGTATTTTGTAGCCTGTTCAACTTGACGTTTTGATTCGTTACTATCTCAATGTCACAGATACACAGAATGTGAGGTGATCATCTTAAAGAGAAACGTCTCAGCTTTCACCTGGTGTAAAGTTTATCTTTGTACTCAAAATATAGCTCGCTCAGTGTGCAATAGAAGTTGACAATACAATAACCACGTCTGCGACCGGTCGTCAGGTACCGGAGTGTTGCACAAAATTGGGTCCCTAAATTAAAATTCTATGACACAGTTACCATGCAGAAATGTCTGGAGTAACATTTGGTGAAAATTTGAAGGGTCTACTGTAAATATTGCAAAAGTTATTGAAAACAAACTAGCTTAATCAGAAGTTTTTGGGAAAATTTCAAATTTTGTACGTAGTGGGGTCTACAGGGGTGGACTCTTGCGGCGCGCATCTGACGGAGTGGCTTTTTCAACAGCCGTCAGTACGGCCAATATCAGAGCACAAATTATTGTGAGTAAGACCTTAATGATCAGCTATGAACCCCTCACTAGAGTAGTAACCGTATCTAAAAACAAGGAAATGTTATTCCGTCAAAGCTCAAATTTTTTACTCTTCTCAGTGCAGTTAGTGTTACTATGAATGTACTAGCTAAGTATCGTTGATCGTAGCTGCATTACACAGTAGAAAGTAACCAAGGAAGACTGCTGATTAACGAAGCAATTTCAACGTGAACAGTTCCAAAATACATAATCATGGCGACGATAGTTCAACTTGAACCTTTATAGTTTTTACAGTATAAAATCACAATAAAATCACGTGAACTGCAAATCACAAAATCAAATCACTCAAATCTGATAGTCCCGTTACAGTACGCTTTCGTGACAACCTCAACGCTTAAAAAATAAATATTATCCAGTCTTGTGACCACCGATGGCCCTAACTCTCCCTTGTCCGCGAGGAGCATCGTTGCGACCATGGGGTTTCAGTTCTTTGTTCTTCCCACTCGGCTTCGATAGATCGAATTGGCTGGAAGTCAATCTATCAGAAAGACCTTTGTCGATCTCAGGGGCGTAGTAAATTGTGGATGTCGGAGTATAAAGCTTCCTGAAAAGATTGAGACATTCACTCGGTCTGTTGTAAATATCAAATAGTCCTTGTAGGCAGAGATTTAACTTATGTTGGGTTTGATAACTAGAGAAGGCGATTTGATATTCATTGATAGTATAAGCATATAAGCATAAGTGATAAGTTTATATACCCTTTTTATGGTACCTCGAGGCTCGATATCTGTATTCAGTAATCATCACTCAAAATCTACTTATTAAATTTATTAACTAAACAAGTTAATGTATTACCGTCCTAGAGAGGTTTCCTGGGAATTTGAAGTCTCTGTAGGTTGCTGGCATGTCTACTAAGCTCTTCGATGGAGGAGTTTTGGACCCTCGGCGGTCCAAATGATTTATAATGCTGTGGGCATTTTCAACATCTATCGAGGTAAACGCCCTCGCAGCATAACCTGTAGAGAATGAACATGTCATCAATGTGAAGTTCAATGATAAAAATCAGAGTGGCCGATTTCAACGGGCAGAATTCTAATATCATGGCCATGGGGAATGGACTATTTTTTGTCGATTTTGCAAACCAAACTGGCAAACGATTGTTGATTTTCGTCACTAGTCTAAAATGAATGCAAACGTTCGGCCGAACATTTACATGATTAGAAACTTACCGGTTTCTTTCGTTATTATGTACAGACATGGCCGGGCTTGGGTTCCGCATACGATATCTTCTATCAGATTAAAGTTGAACCCACACTTTGTACTGCTCGTGGGAGGAGGAAAGCAAACGGAGACCTTTTCCATGAGCATCTCGTGTAGTACCATCATCATGTCGATTCTGATATCAGCTGCAAAATTCGTCTATTACTAAATGCTAGCTTTTCGAACTTCGTATCTTGGAAATAACAACTTCTATGAAAGAACACACACCACACACACACACACACACACACACAGACAGATACACACACCCACAAACACATACAGACATAGACACACACACACACACACAGACACAGACATACAGGCATACAGGCATAAACACAGACACAGACGGACACACAGACAGACACACAGACAGACACAGTACACACAGACAAGGACACACAGACACACACCCACAAACACATACAGACATAGACACACAGACACAGGCATAAACACAGACACACACAGACACAGACGGACACACAGACAGACACAGTACACACAGACACACACAGACACACACACATAAACACACATAGTTCACTTCAGTGCACTACATTACAATTACAGACACACGCAGTACAATCAGAGACACACACATGATACAAAGACAGACACAGACACAAACACACAGAGTACACTTCAGTACAATCACAGACGCAGGCACAAAGACATATACAAGAAGAGCAGATTGAAGTACCTTCATTTGCAGATGTTGACGCATTGATCTGTGGGATATGTTCTTCAGTCTGTAACTGATCATCTGCTAGAACTGTCTCATCTGGATCAACCGGAGGAGTATCTTCCGGCAGGAGTCTGAGTGGGTCTATCGGACAGCCATGGATCGCTCTCCCTACCTTGTTGAATTAAAGACAAAGGTCAACGACGGATGTCGCATGTTAGTCCTGTAAAAATGTAATCCAAAATAGTGAATAAATAATTTTTACATCTGAACGATTGTATGTCTGAATGGTGATTTTTAATCAATGAACAAAAGTTCAGGATTTTACCTTCTGTTAAGCTGTTAGCAATGACTCTAGCACCCTCTCCCTACAAAACGACCATATCTCGGTCTGAAGCTTTAAACCGTCTTGCCTCAGCAGCCATCTAGCACAGTCGACCTGTCCTGTTAATTGTGTGATCATCAAGTTACCAAATTTAATCCTTCAATATTCAAATAATTGATTATCAGACAAAACAGAGTTTAGAGCTCGACGTATGCTTCAGGGTTTCACACTGTGCTGTAATCAAACGCATGACCAAAACCTCTTGCTACTATTACCAATAAACCCATATTGTTAAGGCGGTCGAATGATTTACCTGAGTTGATCGCGTCCATGAAAGGGTTAAACTGCGTTCTGTCCAGCTTGTTAATGTCCGTTCCAGCAGCCAGCAGTGCCTCCGCCTCCGTCACTCTCCCTGCTTTGCATGGCCAGTGAAGCGTAGAGCTCCCCTCTAAGCTCTTTGACGATCCGACGAAGGATCCAGATTCCCTTCTTTTCTTTTGAGATTGCTTCAATTCTTCCTGGAGTATGCGGATTACCATTTATATACTTCCATACAGGGCGCGTGAACAATCAGCAATGAATTATCAATTAATCAATCTAGTTTTTGAGTAGAAAGTCCACAGATTGTGATACATTGGATTTGATATTGGAAAAGACATAGCTTACCAAATACCTTTTCATGGGCTTTTTGGAGGACAGGGATGACTTATTCCTGCGTGCCATTACACCATAACTATCTGCTGTAACAGCAAAAATTAGAATTATGTCGGACATAATTCTAAAAAATTGGAACATCGTAGTTAATCAGTGTGGTGCTAACAACAGAGAGCGATTTGAACGGTAGGCAATTTCATAAATTCCATTAACGCGATATAAGGATGATTGGAACAGGCTAAAATCTACTATGTAGCATTGATAACTGGCTATATCGCTGCATTAAACGATAAAAGTATTGCTAACTATGGATATTCTAAGTGATCTAGGCAGAGGGGAACCGGCACAGCCAGATTGCGTTGTCTTCAGTGACTAAGTTTCACGATAGTAAAATTGACCTTATTTATTTTTAAAAAGGATGCACAGTTCAAGCAATAAATCGATCAGCTGCTCATATGATATTTGCATTTAAAGGAGGGCCCAGTGCAGTGACAAGTAAGTCTGTTAAGGCAACATTTAGTTCTGAGATTAGCTGAGTCTTGACAAAGATAAGTTGAGTTTCGAGAAAGTGCACACGGATAAAGTTATCAAGTGAAAATGATAAGACTAAGTTAGGGTCCAGTCAACAGAATGGCAGCTGTAACAGAAACAGTTCATTGGATAGGGGAGTAGGGGATTATGACGGAGTGAAGTTTATATAGCAGGGCAAACAAAAAACAACTGACAGCACTGAGCAAGTGAACTGGAAAATTGAGGAAGGGAAATAACTGTGGTTGTCAGCCCTTTCCGTAGCAATCAGGATTTCCCACGAGATCGATCAGGCAATCAGGATTTCCCACGAGACTGCTCCATCCGATGCGCGCACTTTTGTCACGTGACGGCCACGTGACGCTCAAATCGTTGTCACGTGGTACAGAAGGGAGTTTCCTAGAGCGTTGATCTCGACAAGAGGGAGTTTCTCACGGTTTATCTTCAATAACTATCGCTATTTTTATAGTAGAGAGTTGAAACTTTCACCAAATGTTTCCCTAGACATTTCTGCATGGTAACTGTGTCATAGAATTTTAATTTAGGGACCCAATTTTGTGCAACACTCCGGTACCTGACGACCGGTCGCAGACGTGGTTATTGTATTGTCAACTTCTATTGCACACTGAGCGAGCTATATTTTGAGTACAAAGATAAACTTTACACCAGGTGAAAGCTGAGACGTTTCTCTTTAAGATGATCACCTCACATTCTGTGTATCTGTGACATTGAGATAGTAACGAATCAAAACGTCAAGTTGAACAGGCTACAAAATACGCGCTGAATAAAAGTCCACCCCAAAAGTCCACCCCACGCGCGTAGGGTGTATATATTAACAAAGTATATGTACCGTTGTAAATCATTCGGTGTGGAAGATTGTTCCTGCCCATGTATAAGTATTGCTCCTCCACAAGTTCATCTAAAAGGGTCAGTGCATCCTCGACTGCGTCGTCATGTATGGCTCCTCCAAACTCAACTACTTTCTTTATAAGCGTGCCACACTTCTCTCCCGCCGTTTTGATAATGTTTTTTTGCAGTTCTGCTACAACAGGTGATCACCATGGAGCCCAGTATATCCAATACCCTATTTGGGATACCTGTTAAATATATTTTGTTTAGCATGTTTAGAATATTGATAGCTGAACTCTAGCTTGTGAGCCACTGATTCAACCAAGTTCATAATCATATAATAAAACTATGTTTCTCTGAAACTGAAGCCATGATGTAATTTAAACGTCGTATCTAAAGGGGAAAATAAATTTAAATGGTGTTCTATTTCCGTAATTCATTTATTACGAATGTTCATTTGAACCAGTTATAACATCGAAATCACATATTCTCGTTTAACCAATTATTATTCACCAGATGCTGCTAGCATAATAGCTATTATGATTTTTTTTTCGATTCCGATTGGAAGCTGTGTAATGTGATACGTGCACATGATACAATATAGTGTGTAATATATAGTGCGGCACTGCTAATCGTTTTGAAACTTGCCGCCAGCCAGTCTGAGGTGACTCATAGTCTATGCTGATAATAGCTTCGCTTCCCTTGCGGGATATATCTGCAAATTATCAGCTCTCAGTGTCCACGAGTTTTAGTGCATTATATATACTATAAGTATAGAATTCCCGGAACGTATTATAAATATAGTGTGAATATAATGTATTTTAGTGTTATGTTATTAAGATTACGGACTGGAACATTATTTATTACTCGTGTAACAATAGACAGATGATAATTTCTGATTATTCTGATTTCTGCGACAAATGATACTGAACTGTTAGAATAAACGACGTTTCAAAGTAACAACTTCGTATTCATGCTGACAAAATTGGTAAATAATATGTGAGAAAACTGTCTCATAAATGTGAGAAAACTGTCTCATAAAATTTATAAATATTATATTGTTATGGAATGGAAACGTTTTAACCTGGTAAAGCTAGACCACAATTCCAGTCTACGCCCTAGTACAGTGTACACAGCATGAAGGATTTGTTTCGCTTCTCAAATTAAAGCCATATAATATGTATATATGTTTAACTTTACTCGATTGATGGCTAACTGTGATTAATCATTACAGAAACTATAATGAACCTATAATAATAGTATAGTGTAGTGATCTCTGTAGTTGTCTTTTTGAGTTTCTACCCTTGAAACCGTGTACATAACTAATTAGTGATATCAAGCCGCAATCTGAAATATGTCGAATCTAAAAATCGCTTAAATCTTACCTAATAATGGCAGTTCAGCCTGATTGTGGACATCGTTAGAAGTTAGTAATCCAATTCTGCGAGAGAAGATTTGCCCAAAATTTTTTACCATACTTCCTGTTAATATATAAGTAGTAAGTAAGTAATACCAACCTTATTATTACAGACTGTTCTCAGTCTCTGGTGTCGATCACCAGTGCTGAGTGCCTCTGCCGCACCAAAACAACTTGCAATTCAAAAAGGCTTCCGTATGTTTTTTATGCGGGCTACATCGTAGAATACACATGCTAACACCACTAATTTCGCAGCGGCTTTTAATCTCATGCTGCAGTGTAAATAAAATAGAAGTACTAATCGCGAAAAAATGTATACGACCACACAAATTCAGGTTATCCCATGCTGGTATAGTTAGTTAATCTAAAAATAACCATATAGTAAGACAAATTAACTAATCTCCATGCCACATTCTTGGTAATTACGGAAGGTACGAAAGAAACATCTTTTATTTATAAAATCACTCACTCACAAAATTGCCGACCCATTATCTATTGAATGTTGAACAGTTGAAGTGGCGAAGATCTTTTAAACAACTTACAACTTACAATTTACATATCAACATTATTGCTGCAGCAGATACAAATAATAACATTATTATATTCACACTCGCTTGAACAATTAAATTGATTAGGAAGTTGAACCCTCAACTTTTAGTTTTACTGTTTTTGAACTGATAATCATCTACTCCAGGACCAACTGCCAATGAGCTTTGGAAGGTTGACACAGTAAATGGACAGAACTTGTGACGTAAATAAATTTGTTCATGTTGACCTCCAACTCCGACAGAATAGTAGATCAAAATGATTTTAGCTCATTTTAGCTCGTATTCGCTACAAACTACAAAACTTAACATATTTTCTAAGTTCCAATACAGCGATCACAACTGTTCTGACAAAGCACTAGCAACTAGGAAGGTTCTTTAAAATTCTTAAAAGTGTCATAATTACTAAAATCTCTTCTTAACAATCAAGTTGTTGATCCTAGTTCTATACACCTAAACGAGTACAAAATGACAGCCTTTCAAGTTGAATTTATCGATATCCAGCTCAGCATACGGCTTTTTTTAACCAATAATGGGTATATACCGATGATCGGTGAACTAGTAGATATTCGATTATATTACCATGAAACATAGTATTGTAGTTAAAAATCTTCCTGAATGTGTAAATATAACATAAAGAAACACGTACTAGTTTGCTGAAACGAAAAGCAACTATTTAATTAAAATAAATGAACAGTATTCAAATACACAATTAAAAATACAAACTCCAACATATTCGACAGACAAACTCAATAAATGAAGATTTCGTCGTGAAACGAGCTATATATACAGCTATAACGTAGCGCTCGACTCCAGTCTGGACC